GAGTATTTCGAGAAGCTTCGTTGGGAGTGCCCTCTCAGATATAAGGAAGGGTTGAGCATTTTTGCAGGTCTGCCTATCCGTGGAGGATGGAGGTCAATATATATAAGAGTCTCCCTAACAACAAGTAGTAATGCTATTTCTTTACCCTTCTTAGTCATAGCAATGTAGTGGGAGCTGCAAACTTCACATGTTTTAACTTTGTCAGAACATTTTGAAAATAAGATCTGTGGTATCTGGAAAGTTGATGTTGCGTGTGAAGATTGCAGACAAGCTTTATCCAAGGAAATCTAGCTCTCAAAGTTCTGAAAGCGATGCCTCTTCGATTTTCGAACAAGCAATCATGTCGGGGATTTGGCTCTCGAGATTCGGAGAACGGTGCCTCTTCGATTTTTTAGAAAGCAATCCTATTGGGAGTCTGGCTCTTGAGATTCAGAGAGTAGTGTCTCTTCGATTTTTGAGAAAGTAACCTATTAGGAGTCTTGCTCTCGAGTTTTGGAGGGCGGTTCCTCTTCGATTTTTGAGCAACTAATCCTGTTGGGAGTCTGGCTCTGGAAAATCGGAGAGCGGTGCCTTTTCGATTTTTGAGCAAACAATCTTGTTGGGAGTGTTTTCTCGAATATGAGTAAAGGTTGGGCATTTTTGCCAGTCTGCCTTGCCACGGAGCATGGATGTTGACACACATAAGGACTTTCCAGTTATCAAGCAGTGGTGATGTTCCTTTACCCTTGTGGGTAATAGTAGGGTAGCTGGACCTTCAAAATTTATGTGTCTAAACTTTGTCAGAGATCTTTGGCAAAGTTATCTGTGGTACCCGAGGAGCTAATGTTGCGTGTGGAAAGTGGTGCCTCTTCGAAATCCGGAGAGTGATGCCTCTTCGATTTTTGAACCAATGGCCAAGTTGCCTTTTCTTTTATAAGGGCACCAATTGTGTGCAAGAAGTACATTCAGAGATTTATTGCTTGTAGAAATTTTCCCCTTATTTTTATACTTCAGAGATTTTTTGGACCTCATTTCTCCTTCATCATTTTTGAAAATGTCTGGCCCATCCAACCATTATTTTAACTTGAACTTTGGTAAAGAGGCAGTTATGTCTCTTCAAGACAACATATGACACCCATTCTTCTTATCCCCTACTCGTCCTCTTACCGTTGGAGATTATGTGATGAAGAATGATATGACTGCTGTGGTGGTGGCTAGGAACCTTCTCACTCCCAAAGATAACAGATTACTTTCCAAATGGTCTGATGAGTTGGCTGTTAAGGATTCCCTGACTTTCAGTGTCCAGTGTGCAGGTTTTGTGTCTAATATGGCCTAACGCCTATTTGCTCGAACCAGCCAAGTTAAATCATTACCGGCTGAAGTGATAAGTCTCAAATAGGAGATTAGAGGGCTAAAGTATGAGAATAAATAGTTGCACAGGCTCGCACATGACTATGCTACAAACATGAAGATGAAGCTTGACCAGATGCAGGAATCTGATGGTCAGATTTAGGAATCTGATGGTCAGATTTAGGAATCTGATGGTCAGATTTTACTTGATCATCATAGGTTTGTGGGTTTGTTCCAAAGACATTTATTGCCTTCGTTTTCTAGGGTTGTACCGCGTAATGAAGCTTCAAACGATCAACCTCCAATGCCTTATTTTATAAAAGGGGCTCCCTCACATTCATTGGAGAGAAACTCTTAGCCCATCACTTATGTATTAAGAAGCGAACTCTTATTCTATAAAAATGACTCCCTCACCTTTATTAGAGAGCATCGCTGCCAGTTGAGCAACCGTCTCGCAGCGAGCATCACTCCTAACCCATCACTTATGTACTGAGGAGCGAACCCTTATTCTATAAAAGAGACTCCATCACCATCATTAGAGAGCATCACCGCCTACTGAGTAACCGCCTCGCCGCGAGCATCAACTCTAGCCCATCATTTATGTATTGAAGAGCGAGCCCTTATCCTATAAAAAGGACTCCCTCACTTTCAATGCCACAAGCCGAGCAGCCTCGCAACATGTGCTGCTTCTAGTTGAGCATCATTTCACATTGAGCACCGCCTCATATTGAGTATCAGTTCTAGATGACATCTAGTTACTTCGGCCCACACATGGACTGAATTTCAAGTCTCTAGCCAAAAGACTCTTTTAACTGAAGACTTGGATGACTACTGTTTGTACCATATTTGGGGCCTCCATATTTAGACCTCGTATAAATACTCGGGGGACTCAAATATAATTATGTAATAAATGAAAGGGCAAATATGTAATAAGTGAGGAGTCCTTATTCTATAAAAGGACTCCTCACTCTCCTTATTACGAGAGGTTAAGGTTTAGGCCATGAGAAGAGAGAAAACATCTCAGAGAAGGCAAATACATAAAATAGGCTAGAGAGCACATTGCCTCTAGCCTTCTTGTACATTCACCATTCAGAGTGAAACAATATCAACATCATTGTGGATGTAGCCCAAACATTGGGGTGAACCACGATACATCTTTGTGTTCTTGAGTGTTTCTGTGATTCACGGCCGGATTTATGTTGGTCCAAGATCCTCCGGTTTTTGTGCATCAACACTCTGCATTTGGCATTAGAGATTGAATAGCATTGCCAATACCCTTTTGCTTATCTGTAATAAAAGCATATCCATGTGAATTTTCCATTCATAAATCTTTCTTCAAGATTTCAATAAACCACTCCCAAGTGTTCTGGTTTTCTATATCCACAATTGCATATGCTATAGGAAACATCTCATTGTTTGCATCAATCTCAACTGCTGCTAGTATTTGTCCAGGATGTTGGCCTTTAACAAGCATTCATCTAACCTAATCACTGATCTGCATCCTTCTTTAACCATTTCTTGCATGCATCAAAACAAATGTAGATTCTTTGAAACTTACACACATTCCCTCTCATTTGAGTCTTGAGAACAACAGTACTACCTGGATTAAATTCCTTCAACACTTCCACATATTGGCCTAACTTATTATATTGCTCTACCCAACTTCCTTTGTTAGCCTTCTCAACCCTTTGCCTCGCTCTGTATATTTGTTGTGTTGAAGACTTCATGTCCGCAGTCCTTCTTTACTGCAGCTTTGAATGCCTCAATTAACCATTCTAGATCTATCATTAATTGTTCTTAATACTTAGAGGCTAGAAACCTTGAATTCAACTAGTAAACTTTTTCATCCCTTGAACATTCATGTTTCATCACAAGGGTTTTTTATTTGGAGTGTATGAGAGTTATGTAGCCTACCTCCATATAGCAGAAAAGGGCATTCATTCTCATAGTTTACCCTAATTCTTAGATTATCATTCTTCTTAAACCAAATCCTCCTTCCATTCTTGCAACTATAATGCACTATTGCCTCCTTCAATTGTTCCTTATTGGGAAATAACATTCCCATCTCAAAATTTAGATTTTGTAAATCAATTGTCGTTTTCCATTGCTTAAACTTGGGCATTTGAGTTTCCCTCTGTCTCTTCCTCTTGCGGGTAACCCCATGAACCAAAGTAAACTTGGGCATCTGACTTTTCAAGCTCTACTTGAGACTAAAGTAATATTTGTCTCCAACCCCTCTTTGATTTTTTAACATACATTGAATGCCATGAACCAAATTAGATATTTAGAGTGCAATAAGGAAAAAGTAGGCGTTAGATATACATGCAAGTTAAAGTCTTAGAGCTATAAAATGTGACACGTAAGATGTTGCACAATGAGAGTTACAGAGAATGATAGAGGTATAAAACATGACATGTCAAGTTCTTCCACTCTATACCTAGTAATTTTCAAGGGTGAATGTGGATATATTCTTGAATTGACAATTAAATTGTTTAGCTAGTTAGTTATAAATATTTCTCTTTAGTTTATAAATATGTTAAAATTCAATCCATTTGTCATACTTGTATCTAGACTTATTTTAGATAGTTCATCAATAATAAAAAATTTCAACTCAAATGAAAGGAATTACTCAACTCGAATGGGAGGAGTGTCATGAATAATTGAATATATTATAGAAATAAGGGAATAGCCATGTAAAATAAGAACTTTGTAATCAAGGTTAATTTCTGACTTTAAAGCATTAGATTACCGATTCACAAGAAATAAAATAATTTAAATACTCATTATTTACGTAAATAAACACTAATACGATAAAAATAGAAAAAATGGTAGCATTGGTCCCTTAACCTTAATTAGAGCAATGGTACCTTAATTAAAAATTCATGAACATTGATATCTTAACTCATCAAAACGTGCAATTATGGTCATTTCCGTCAACTCCGTTAAAACTTCTATTAAAATGAGTCACGTGCCACCCATGTGAGACCGAATCAAGAGGCAAATGTGGGAAACTAAATGAGAAAATTGGAAAATAATCCCTCAACTTTAAACCAATTAGAGAAATGATCTCTTAATTTTTAACTCAATTGTAACAATGATTTTTCCAACATGACTCATGTTAACGGAAGTTCTGATAGAGTTGACGAAAAAGACTATAACCGCACATTTTTAATTGAATGAGCATTGCTCTAATTAGATTAAAATTAAGGGACCATTGCTACATTTTCTTATAAAAAGAAAAATGTTTGCCTTGGAGTAACCAGTAACCGATACTCTAGTTAAAATGTTTGGTTAAAAATATAAAATTAAAATTTTACAGTTAAAACATTCGGAGTATCGGATTCTCGAAACATGCAAGTATTTTGAAGAAAAAGAAATGTAAATACACAAAGAAAGACCATGCGCCACGCGTTTGGTGACCTCAAACACGGCATCCACGACTCGCACTTGCTTGGAAGTAGGAAGGAAGCTTGGAACTAGTTGGGATAAAAGCATCCTACCATTTTCTAATAATAAATAAATAAAATAATTCGTAATGCCTCTGAGCAATCACGAATGATTCTCATCCCCAGGCGAATTTTCACATTGACTTGTACACTACGACAGCGTTTCGGGTGTAGAGTAATATTATAATTTAAATACGGCTTATGCCGGTATCCGGTAAATTGTTGGGCAGTCCAGACAATTTTTCCTCTTATTTTCTGCATACAACGCACCCTACCGCTTTATTCATCTTTCTCTCCTTCCTCAACAGCACAACTCTCTCTCTCTCTCTCTCTCCAAGTTTGTTCCTTTGAGAAAGAACCAGCCCTTCATCGACTTCAAAGGTACGACTTTTCCTTTATTTTCTTAACTATTTCAGTTTCTCGAGCTTGATCATCGTTTTATTGTTTCTGCACGATTTTTTATAATTTCTTCACATTTTTCTTAATTTTTTTTAAAGTTTAATTTTTGAGGTCCGATCGTCATTTTCTCGATCGATTCTTGTTCTGCGTTTCTGATTGTTGTTGTTGTGGTGCCGTTTCCGGCCTCTGATCGTTGAGGTTTGCTTGTTTGGTGGTGCTGCTATATAAAATTGTTATATACACACACACACACACACACACACACACACATACATACACATCTATATATATATATATATATATATGCCTACCCTCTGTTTAGGAATTTGTGATTTTTGGGTAATTTTTATTTTGTTTTAATGTGGATGCTGTATTGTGTAAAATGGAGCTGTGAATTGTGGTTGTTTGGTTTTATTCTGTTGTATAATTGTTCCAACATGTATGTAATGAACCCGGGCGGGCGGATAATATGATGACCATTATGATAGTGATGGTTATTGCAATCGTAAAGTCACTTTCCTCGGTTATTAGTTATTCAGGGAGAATGATTTTGCTTTGTAACTAATATCAGGGTCTCAAATACTGTTTCGAAGAAAATGGTTATACCTCCCCTGCGGTTTAGTTTAGACCGAGGTTTGCTTGGTGGATTTGAGGGTTTTTAGATAATAAATTGTTCGTTCTGGATTACCTTAGCATCGACTAGGTTTAGACCGTTCTTATTATGCAGGTTTTGGTTGTGCTGGTCGTGTATCGTTATTGCATGCTTGTGTTGAGTTCGACTGGAGAGGAGCATTAATACCCAAGTTCTGAGAGGTGATACAACTGCATCTGCAGGTGAGAGTTTCTTAGAGCCATATCTTTCTAAGGTTTGCGGTTCTGTATGGTGGTCAATATTTGTACATGATGGTTTACGTTACTGTTTTTTTTTTTTTTTGTGTTGGCAATGTGTGTTTTTGTGGTGGGTGTGTGTGGGTGGGTGGGTGGGTGTCGGGGGGGGGGGGTTTAGTTCCTTTCATTCTCTGAATTATGAATAGTGTTGCAGGGACCTTTTGATCAATTCGTCTTCTATAAAAAGGATCTCAATTCAAGCCTTGTCTTTTCTTCAGGATTTATTGGTACGCTCTGCTGCCAGCTGTAGTTTTGTGAGAGCACAGTATATGGTACTAACTACTAAAGACTCCATTTTTACTTGCTCAACTAGTAATGAACTGGATTTCACTTTAACTGGGTCTATCCACCTGACCTAGTGGAGGTCATTTTTGAGATAGAAAAAATGTAGCCTTGATGGTGATAGTGTCATGGTTTTTAGATCGGTAATGCCTGGCCCTCTGTTTACTGATGGAAAAAGTCAGAGTTCAATGCTGTTTAGGGAGGTCTTTGATCTAAACTAAGCACACAGGATCTTCCTTGTGTTTACATTATGCATACTAAGGTGACGGAGAGGTTGGCTATAATATAATGCCATGGGAAAATTCAATTGACTACGTAAAGTTTCTGTGGTCAATTCATGCTTCTCATTTTCCTAGGATTTGGAGTTACCTCTATGATGTTTCTGTACGTTGGTGTCAAATAGAACAGTGAGCTGATGGATATACTGATGATTGTGTGCTTAGGAGTTGTCAATGGATGGTGAACATACGGACCAGCTTTTGATACATTGATACATACCATCTCTGGAGAATCTTGTGCTCAGGTGATGGGATGGAACCATGTAGTTTGGTTTGAATGTGGAGTTTTCTAGTGCCACTTATCATTACCCTTGTGGTGGATGATTTGCCCGTGAGTAAGGAAAAACCTTCACTAAGAACTCTGAGGAGCTGATGTTTGTAGCACTGATACACAGAGCTTGGTGCCCTAAGATTTGTGTAGGCTAACAGGGTGGAGTGAGTAGTTGGGGTCTTGTACATGTCATACCTGGATGGGAGGTAGTGGGCTGCTAACTCATAATTGGTGGTTTGGGTTTCTTCAGATTGGCATAGGTTATCGGTTGGATGGCACCCTTGACTCGTGTACAGTTTCTTTTCTGTATTCCACACGAATAAAATTTTCCAGATTTGAGATTATGAGAATATCTTGGTTACTTCTTAGGACATCATCTTGCTGAGGAGCCTCTGTGGAGAGAGTTTTGCAAATACTAATATCCTTTCTTCGGAGATCTCCAAGCCTATCTTTTAGAGTGCAAGTATACCGACCATGTGTACTCTATAGCTTCAAGTGCCAAATGTCTCAAGATGCATATGATGTGAAGACAACACCCTTTTAAGTCTTCGGACGAAGATTCTTCATATTGGGCTATGGGATTTTGTAAGTGTAGAAACTTTTTGTAGACAGAGAAGGCTCCAGGTTTAAGCAATACATATATTTGATGGTTATACTAACTTGATCTTGTGGATTGACAGTTTTCAGAGTTTATATCTAGTGTTACCTTCTGTTCAGTGACTTAACCTCATCTTGGTATTTTACATGATAGAAAGGTATTGTAGGCGGGAATATAACTTTGACAAATTTTGTATTATTGATTTATGTTTAATTACTTGATTACCTAGTTTTAAAAATTGTTTAAAACAGCAATGGTATAGTATGTATTTTTCACAATCAGTCTACAAAGGCTCTCTTCCATTTATTTTACTTTTTTCATCTCAACTTATTTTATAATATACTAATTGTACCTTTCATTCATAATATTTTCAGCTTTCATCTGGAACAGTTCCGACTTTTAACCTTGATGAGAGCATCTTTTGAAATGTCTTTAGGGCTGAAAGTATTAAGAACTGTGCCTTTTTTTTCAGAATTTGGAGGCGAGGGGCCATCTGGTAGTGGGTTTTCTGGTCTTAGTTTATATATTTTAAAATTCTCCTGTTGATATTTGGATATCAAGAAATAATTTAAAAATCAATATAGTGTGTTATTAAGATTGTTACATCTTTACACCTGCTAGGTGATCTCTAATCCTGTGATTCAAAGTCCAAACGCAGGTAATATCTTCAAGGAAGGTCCTGATTCCATCTTTCACATCTCACTTTCAGCTAATTATTTCTTTACACTTTCCATTCTTTTTTATCCCTCAGAAAAAAATGGCTCTCCCTATTATCATTGGAAAAGCCATCTTATTGGAGAGGAATGCAAGTAAGGGAGTTGGTTGATGGTGATATAGGGTGCTAGCCTTTGTGTAATTAGACTTGACAGATCCTCTGCAGCACAATTGTTTTAAGCAGAACAAATCATGACTTTTACTTCAGTATTGGCCTTGAATAGAACAGAGATCGTGGGTCAAAGTGTGAAACCATATTTATAGGCAGGACTCCTGGTCGAGTAACTAGTTGGTGATGTTGTGGCATATTTTTCATACTCAGTCAAACTATTTTGAAATTTTTCGATTGGTATGTGAAGCCGGAACTTGCTGGAATAATTTGTTTAAATAAACTGCATTTTCCTTTGCCCATCTCTAGAAGTTAAATTTATCTACATCTGTGTTGGTTGCCCTCTTCGGTTGTTGGAACTTGATGGCCAGTTTTAACTTCTTTGAAACCTGTCTGGCTTTGGTTCGATGGTTCTTTTCTTATCTTTTGAAAAGAGCTGAAGGCAATTTCTTTAATGTAATTTGTATGAGGATGCTGATTCCTTTCTCCCATCCACACTCTGAGTTACACAAGAATTCTCGTTTGCTTGTTTAGAAAAGTAAAATCCTTATTACAAGCAATATTTTTGTAATGGGCTACTTATCAAGATTTTATGGTTAATAGTTCTAACTTCTTACTGTAGTGCCTAGATGTGGGCCTCCATGTGTTATAAATGCAAAATGTTGAAAGAAGAGATTTGCATGCATGATTAACCTTAGAAATATCTAATAACGGTGACGTTTCAAGAAAATCTTTGTTGGATACAGCGCTGATTTGGAGTAAAGGCGCGCAGAAATTAATACTAATGTATTTTTCATTTTAAATAAATAAATTTTTATAAGTGACATTTATTTAGATGTATCTTCTGAAACTAAAGTTTTGATGTGACACTCTTAGGTTGATGTTGGAAAATCTTGGATCTTTTCAAAATCCTTAAACGGTTGAGGATGCTGTTATATAGTTGCCCTTTTTACTTGCTCAATGCTCATTAGACTTTAAATCTGTTTAGTCGGCCTTCGTTGGTATTTTGTGATTTTCTTTAATTATACAGATACCTCTTTGGTCAATCATTTTGATCTTTTAGTCTGTTTCTGCTATCTTCTAACTTTAAACATTCTGGTTACTTACTACTTGCACTGTATTTGTACAAAAATATGTTATATTTTATTATTTATCAATACCAGCTTACTTTTACACAAGTAATTACAAGTTTGGTTGAAGTTGTGTTGAGATTTGAGAATAACAAAGAAAGTAAAAAGATGTTGCCCTTGTTTTGGAATTAAAGTATGTAGGGGAACCTGCAGCACCGCTCTCTTTCCTTTGTTATTTGTCCAATATTTTATGAGTCCTGGATGCGTATCGTGACTCTCGCAGTCTGAAAAGTAATGAAGTTAATTACTTTTCTATGTTTTGAGCTGCCTTTCCCTTTTTTGTGCAGGCTGTGGTTTTATTTGGTAGATTCTATTTCCAGCTCATAACTTGTTCGTGGCTGTAAGCTGACGAAAGTTATGGGGCATAGACATCAGTTCAGCACATCTCATGTTTTTGAAAGTGAAAATGATCAGAATTGGAATCATATGAATACGGAACAACCTTTTGGGCATTTAGGTACTGTCTTTATTTTCCTTGAGTATATTCTTCTTTTCCTTTTTTCTGGTCTATAATTGCAAAATGTTTTTGGTCATTTATGAGTTTTGAGTGTATTAACCTTGAATATCTGATCTATGGAATATCTTTTGTATTCATGATTAACTGTCTGATTTTGGACCAAATACTGCAGGCCAGGCTGGCTCTGGGGAGAACGGTTCTTTCTTTTATCCTGTAGAAAATATGTTTATAGATGGAGCGCCTTTTGCTTCAAATTGGAACCCGGCTCCGAGGTCATATGGGTACTCTTCCATGAACCACAATATTGATGTACCACATTATCAACCTGATGCTTCTGGTCCGTCTCATGACCCTTTTCAGCATCCAATAAGTGCTGGTACCTTTGGCATGTCCAGTGGGAATTATGCTCACCATGCACCTTCTTCTAGTTATGACCGGCGTACATTCCATGGTGTTGAGGGTAGTTTTGTTGATCTTACAGTGAGCAACGGAAGAGGTCCTCACAAGAGAAAAAGCCCAGGGATCCCTTCAGTATCTGAGAGAGGCAGCACCAGCAGATACTATAGCTCTGGCAGTAGTTCCTCTGAGCTCCCTAGATCTTCAGAGTTGCAGCAGGAGAAAGTAAACATGGATACCTCACACGTGCCTTGGGATCACATTTCTATGGGCCCCAGCTATAGAGGGAATGGACTCTCGATTAGGGGTGAAGGATCCATGAGAAATGTGAGAAGCCGGTCTGAACATGATTTGGAGTCCAACCTAGCGAGGACACATTTATCGACCAATCCTTTGCACACTTCTTATTCTACAAATCTCCCTATTGACCATTCTAGTACAATGGATCTCTCTGGTCAGGGTTCCACTGGTTTGACCAATGAGTGGAACCATATTAGTGTGGCTCCTCATGGAAGGATTATAGCTCCAGGTTAGTTTTTGGTTCATTTGTGTCTTTGTATCCAGGGTCATGCTACTTTTTACTGATTGATTTCTTTTAAATTGCAGATTCAAGTGGTTTCGGTCATGATCCGAACCACTTCCTTGTGGGAAGTAGTGGTAATGCTTCTGCGGATACTGGGTTATACCATCATGATTTCATGTCGAGCAGAAGTAATGCGGTCCCTCAAAGTTATCCTGGTGCCTTAGCCCCAACTGTAAGGGGTGTTCGCAGTACCTACTCTCAAAGATCTACCCCAGCCTTCAGGGCTTCTTCAAGCAACTTGCGATTGGGACATGTAGCACATTCAGATGAAGGATTGCAGCTGATGCCAGAAAATTACCCAAGACATCCTAGGCCAGTGGCCTCTGTTGGGTGGCGTCATAATGACAGGAGTGGTAGATTAAGGATGTCTAATGATAGATACCGAGTCCCTGAAGCGTCTGCTCTCCAGGAGCGGTTTACTTCTGAGGTATGTAGTTCAATCGCTGCATGTTAGCATGTCTTGTTATTTTCAAGAAGGTTGCAGCTTGTTTGTGATTGTCAGAAAACACTTCACTGTTTTCCCAATCGGTGCATACGTATTGTTGTGTACTTTCCACAGTAACTATTCAAGCTAGTTCTGAGCACTTAAAATCTGAAAATGCATAGCCGATAGCTATTGTGCATTCTGTTGTGACTTTTGAGAACCTATAACTTAAACATGAGACTCAAGCTCTTGTTTAATCAGGTTCATACATCTGTATGGACTAGTATTACTAACATGTTCACAAGCGATCCATGTGACTATGGACAATATGCTCTTATGAAACTTATTTTATTGTTAATTAAAGCTTTTGAAATTCGATACAACAACAACAACAAAGCCTTTTCCCACTAAGTGGAGTCGGCTATATGAATCCTAGAATGCCATTGCGGTCGGTTTTGCGTCCTCCGTTAGATCCAAGTACTCTCAAGTCTTTTCTTAGGGTCTCTTCCAAAGTTTTCCTAGGTCTTCCTCTACCCCTTCGGCCCTGAACCTCTGTCCCGTAGTCACATCTTCGAACAGGAGCGTCAGTAGGCCTTCTTTGCACATGTCCAAACCACTGTAACCGGTTTTATCTCATCTTTCCTTCAATTTCAGCTACTCCTACTTTACCTCGAATATCCTCATTCCTAATGTTATCCTTTCTCGTGTGCCTACACATCCAACGAAGCATCCTCATCTCCGCTACACCCATTTTATGTACGTGTTGATGCTTCACCGCCCAACATTCTGTGTCATACAACATCGCTGGCCTTATTGCCGTCCTATAAAATTTTACCTTGAGCTTCAGTGGCATACGGCGGTCACACAACACGCCGGATGTACTCTTCCACTTCATCCATCTAGCTTGTATTCTATGGTTGAGGTCTCCATTTAATTCTCCGTTCTTTTGCAAGATAGATCCTAGGTAGCGAAAGCGGTCGCTCTTTGGTATTTCCTGATCTCCGATCTTCACTCCTAACTCATTTTGGCCTGAACTTGCAATCCATATATTCTGTCTTTGATCAGCTTTTGAAATTCGATAAAGCTAATAAAATTCTTTTGTATAGCGTAAATCTTGTTTAGTACTGAATACGGATGAGCCAATTGTTCATATACCACTGCAGGGTTTTATGACTGTGGATCGCCCAGCCTTTTATGGGTCCAGAAATATGCCTGATCATCATAGAGATATGAGGCTGGACATAGACAACATGAGTTACGAGGTAACATTGATATTCCTGCCCTTATTATTTTGCTCTTCCTATGGACTTTAATGTATTCTGAATTTCTTGAAATGTCCGAACAAACAGGAACTCCTTGCACTTGGCGAAACAATTGGGAATGTGAGCACAGGCTTGTCTGAAGATCTGATACCGAAGTGTTTGACAGAAACAATATATTGTTCATCAGATCAAATCCAGGAGGAAGTCTCATGTGCAATTTGCCTGGTAAGAGTAACACTTGAAACCGAAAATTATGAGATTGCACTGTCAGTTCGTACGGTTTTGTCTTAAGCTTTTTCAACCAATTGGACTATAAATTGCTTAAACTGCTGAAAAACTAACTAGCATTTTTCTCTAATTGACAGGAAGAGTACAATGACAGGGATGATGTTGGTGCGCTGAAAAGTTGCGGTCACGATTACCATGTGAGCTGCATCAAGAAGTGGTTGTCAATGAAAAACTCTTGTCCAATCTGCAAAGGTTGTGTTCTTCCTGATAATATGAAGGAGAAATAATTTAATCGCATTGCCAGCGGCTTCATTAAATTTCCATTCTTGTATATATATTTAGAGATAATCCCGAAAACGGGGGAAGCGAACTTGTTGCGAATAATTTAAAGAGATTGTTAGCCAATTTAAATTCATTTGTTTCAGGCTTCAATTTAAATGTTGTGAAGCCTTTTTGCAACTCTTGTTTTGTATGGGGCTTTAGTGGATAGATGTTTTTTTTTTTTTTATTTGTTTTGTTTTATGAGTCCATTCTTCTGAATCTTTCCTTTTAGAACTGAGAAGCTAGCTAGTTTACGATGAAAAGGGATAAACCTTAAGAAAAAAGAAGGGAAAGACGAACTCTGGTTTGTTGGTTTTGGTTTTCTAACTTTTGTTTCTTTGATTTTTATTTTTTGTATCCAGCCTAAGTACCATCCCAACCCATTTCATGAATAAAATGTGACCAATTAACCAACCAACAAAGCTACTTGTTACAAATAATATCTCTTTGTTGCATCGAAACATATAAATGTTGACTAATCTGACTAACATTGGACTATTTAATCAGACGACTAAAAATTGGTAGATGCATGTAAGAGGACTACTAGAAATTGATAGATGTCAAGTGTGCAAGGGGAGAATCAGAGTGACAATTTATATGGCGATATTTGGTTTTGCTTGAGCTAAATTACACAATGTGGGAACAATAATTTGTAAACAACTTGCCAGTCATGTAATGAGAGAACAATAATTTGTAGACAACTTGCCAGTCTTGAATGTCGAGTTTAAGATACAAGCGGAGATGAATTTTACTGGATTACTCATATACAAGTGACATTTTAGTTTTTAAATCTTACATGGTTGATAATCAGATAATTAGACTTTTTAGTAAAATTTTTATTATGAGTACAAGAAGACATTTTTTTTATATATTTTATCTTGCTAATGAACATGGCAAAACAAGGCTTTCAACAATTAAGATTTTATGATTAATTATCTATTTATTTGACAGTTTGTATGATTGTGAAATGGTAAATTAATACCGCTATCGTTTCTGGTGAAAAATAAAAAGAAAAAAAAAAGTGCTACAGCAAATGTCACTCTCGCTTAAGTTTTACCAGTATTAGGCGGTGTTCAATTTGGATTGCTAATGTTCAAACTAATTTGTTACAACATTGCTTAATACCAAATAATTTTATATGACATTCACATTAAACCTGGCAAACATGTGGTATGTGTCGTCTTGATGTTAACACGTCTTTTTAACAAGGATTTTTTCTCCTTTTTTTTTTCCTTCCCCTTTCCTCTTCTCATGTTTGAACGCTTAAGATTTCATCTCTGTAGAGAGAGAAGAAAGAAGTAGAGATAGAAAGAAGAAAAAAAAAACTGTGAGAGAAGGGGAAGGAAGGGGGAGTAAAAAAGAGAGGGGAGAGAATCCCCATAATAGGTTACAAGGGTGTGACATCCACATACCGTTTTTTACTTCCCACACATCCGTTGGATCGAATGAATTAATGACGATCAAATAATATAAATTAATAAGAGGTGTGTGAGAAGTAAATAGGAGTGTGCTATCCACACATCCCTAGATTATATCTTGTTAGTCCATTAAGAACTTTTTCTTTAACAAATGGACCATAAAACTTCATTTCAAAGGGACAATACTTAACACCAATCTATAAAACCGAAAATGGCTAAAATCTTCTAACGTTGTAAAAGTTGTGGGAATGCCCGCATACTTTGACTGAAAATAAAGGACAAGGATTGTCTGCCTTCCCGTGCCCTCCTGTTTTGTGTGGTCACGGTTAAGCCACGTTAACATTTTATATATTTTTTTATAAAGATAATAAGACAAAAAATGAATAGTAATATAAAATGTTGACGTGGTTTAATCGTGACCACACAAACGGGAGGGCACCAGAAGTGGGAGGGCAGACAATTCTTGTCCGAAAATAAATGTAATAAAGATCAAAAACAGTAGTATAGATGTATTGTCAAATTTTATTATTGTTGTAAGGCATAACTCTTCAACATCCATTAACTTCTCTTGTGAACTTTTGTGTGTAAATGACTCCATATAAAGAGCTTGCAAAGTATGATCAAACTACACAAGATCAAAAGCAGATAGTGATAATACCAGTCTCCCTTCCCTATCTTTACCCATATTCATTGTATGATACAGTTACGAAAATAAACATTGTGGTACATTGCTCTCCTTCCACTTCGATCTCTACTAAAGGTTATCTTTCTTACTTTTGCCTATTTATAACACGTTATCAGCACGACTCTCTATCCCTAACGAATTTTCATTTTCTTTGCCGAAAAATGTTTCCTATAAGGATCTTACTATTCCTCTTCCTTCTCTTCCTTACCTGCTTTGTGATCCCTCACCACCACAATGAAGAGCTACTGCCACCATGCTTTCTCCTAGTCCTCAATTAATAATTACTTATATTTTTTTATTTCTTATTTGTTGTAGCTCCTGATTACTAACCCAATATTTATTTATGTTAATTTTACTGCAAGTTTAGATGTGCAGTATAATCGCTTATCCTGCACTGCATATTTAATTTTACTGCAATTTTAGATGGTAAGGTATAATCGTCCATCCTACACTACATATTAATTTTCCTGCTACTTGAATGGTGTGGTATAATTGCTCATTCTACACTACATTATTCTAATGAGAGTGGTGTTGTACTGTCGCTCTCCTTGTTAATTTTCTTTCTTTCTGGTAGTAATACTCGATACTGATGGTAGTCTCTTTGTAGTGAGTAACTGCCTAACAATTTTTAATAAATGTCTAAATTATGTTAATCTCAAGTCTGAAGTTTTAAGTGCTTATCATTTTAGCCTGAAATTCAAAAAAACCAATTTGTAAAAACTAGAAGTTCTAACACTACATTTCTCCAGAATTCATATTATTGCAAGTTCTTATACATCTTATTTTTATTTTTATTTTTCAAAGAAAGAAAATGATGAATTTGGCAAAGCTTGATTTTGTCACCCTTGACAACACTAGAAAGAACTACCTTACCTGGGTTGTAGATGCCAAGGTTCATCTTGACGCACGAAATTTTGGGGACACCATTAAGGAAGGAAACCTTGCATCCTCCCAAGATCGGGCGAAAGTTATGATCTTTATTCGCATCCACATCCATGAAGGATTGAAGAGTGAATACATGACGGTTGATGTGACGACCCGTCCCTAATTTTCATATGTAATTTCTCCCCGAATATGTAATTTGATGATTATGCCCTTATTGGCAAGTGATGTGGACTTATTCTTATCGCTTTCCTTTTTATTTCTTACTATTGCATTTAATTGTACATGTCGGTGCATGTGTACGTATATATATTCAGTACGAAAATACTATTCTGGATAAATTTTCGATACTCTTTTCTATACAAAAGTCTAAAGCCTATCCCTAGCTTCTACCTAGTCCATCCCATGCACCTTCCTCCATTATTTACTCCCTCACCTATCCCATCTATCCCTCATTTCTGTCCCCCAATCAGAAAAGCAACCTCACATCACTCTTTCTCTCTCTCTCTTCTCTCTCCTTCGCCGAGCTCCCTTTTCCGTTCTGCAACCTTCACAAAAACACGCCAAAACTCACAAACATGACAAACCAACTACCCCATTGTGTTTATCTCAGTCCCACAATCACAACCATGTCCTTGAAATCTGGTGTAGATGAGTTTTGACTCACCAACTAGGAAGGTCGACTTGGCGAGTTCGACATAACGATTTTTAGGCCATTCATGGCTTAGGTAAGCCTCAAGAAACCCTTAGAACCTTCATTTCACTTCTATGGGTTGGTATTGATCTCTTGTTTATGTTTTGAACGTATGGTTTTACCCAGAAAACTCAAGAAGAAGAAGAACCTGCACGTTTTTCAGTCAAGGACCGTGACCATTTGGTCACTTTCAACCCATTTTTCTGGTCAACCTCGACCACATCTGGGCTCCTAATAGGTACAAACTTGTTCTCTACATTCCTAACTTCAAAATGCCTTTTGAATCACTAAGTTTGGTTAATTAACGAGTTAGAAATCAACTTTGGAAGTTGGGAAGAAAATTTCAGTTTCTGGAAAATTTGCAACCGTGGTCATTTGGCCACTTTCAGGCCAAATTTCTGAACAACACGGAACGTATTCAAACTTTCTGTGAATTGGGATCGATACATCACATTCCTAGCTTTAATTTGGCTTTTGTAAAACTGAATTTGGTTGAGAATCGAGCTCGTTAAGAGCTCTGGAAGTTGGCCAAAAATATGCAAAAACTGTTGAAAATAACGAGTACGTCTGTACTCGCGGGCGCGTGGCCATTTTGTGCAGCCACTTTGGGCGGTGCGCGACGGCGCTTCCGGCCTTCGGTCGGTGTGTGGTTGACACGTGTGTTCGTGTCGTTGAGTAGATCGATTTCATATATTTAAACCCTAGGTTTGAGCAAACTATGAGGGTTTTATTTAGATTTCCGTTATGTGCTTTAATTAATGTTATTTTAGTTATTTCACATATAAGGGAAACTTATCCTAAGGATTTACGAGGTCAAGCTAGGCTCGAGGGCTATGACCCAGCAACGTACTTATGAGTAGGCAGTTGTTTTATACCTATACATATTTATAGTTTCTTACTTCACTTTTATGCTTATTTTGCCAAGTATCGTTATTGTGATATATATTGTGATAAATAATGCTATATGACTGAGATATTACTGCCATGACATTCATACATACTTGTGTACATGCTCATCTTGCTGCACCCCAGTGTTAGTACTCGCCCCAGGGCCAGGGCCAATCTTTCACATGTAAGTTCACATTGCACCGTTCGCTCACCTTGGATCCAAGTTAGGAGCCAGTCCTGTCGGGTAGATTGCATTAGGCAATTCGACTTGTATGTGATGTGCTTCTGCACCGATCTTCACGTGATCCTAGTACTAGAGCATATTGATTACACCCAATCATGTTCGTGTCAGAAACTATTTGTTTGAACTTGTGTGTCAGCTTAGATGGATGAGCACTTAGTTATACTTGATTATCACATGATTATTACTGTGGCATTTGATACATCATTACTTGGCATATTCCTGGTTATATTACTGCTATAATATTATTGAATTATTGTTTATATACCTTGTTGATGCACAAAATCAGTGAGGACTTTGGTACAACAGAAAATATTAAGTTTGTGACCTTCGCTAGATTGCTCCGGTCACTGGTGTGGACAAGTATGTAAATGGAT